TTCCAACCGAGCGATTCTGTGATTCTGTGGGGTCAGACACGCCAAGTCTGACATCCAAAGATGGATTTTTGCATGGCTTGATGTGCATCCTTGTTAATTCTCTGCTTTCATGCTCACAAGGGGATTTTCTAGTAGTAGATTATTCTAGAGCCATCAGTCAAATGTAAGGTAGTGGTGATACCACGGTGCTCAGGAGCTTGCTAAGCACAGGTACACGTGGAACCGTGAGGTCCCTCTTGGCCTCAGTTTTTCTGAGGCAAAAAGGATCCTTTCCAAGCATCCTGCTCATGCCAGCTCTTCTTCCCAGTCCGCTGTTGGACGCAGTGCACTGTAATTGAAGGGCTGTATGTGCACTTGTTTTGATCTCCTCAAGTCAGCTAGTTCCTCTGGGTTCATTTTTCTAAGCATTTGTTTGGTTTGGTGTTCTGGTTTGGTGGGTTTGGGGTTTTTTGTTGTTGGTTTTTTTTTTAAATACAATCTGAGATGGTGATTAAATGTACCATTTGAATGGCAGTCCTGTTTAGTCTGAAAGATTCCCACAGGTTCAGAGTTCTGTGCTGACTCAGCTGCCTTTCTTCGACCTGATTTAGAGGTTACTGGAGAAAGTGTCCAACTTTTAAAGTCAAGTAGGAAGTTTAAGTCAAGTTTTAAAGACCTTTGTTGTGGTGTGGTGTTTTGTTATGAATTCAGAGTCACCTGTAAAGATAGATGCTGTTTACAGTACAGAATCTCTTAGTTATTTGAGTATTTATCATCACCTTGTTGATTTAACTGCTCATTTTTCATAACCGTTGTTTCATGAGTGACCAGAGTTTCTTACAACTCATCTTCCACCTCAATCTCTTAGTAAAATTTGACATGCACAGATTTTTATTCAAAAATACTTGTAACATCTACGAGATACAAAACAGCAAAAGCAAGATTGGGACTTGTAAGTATTTGCACCTAGGAGAAATGATGGACCCTGCTTGTGTTTTCCAGGCTCAGTCAGAATTAGTTACGGAAATTCAGATGCCTTTTTTTGTGTGCTTAAAATACTTCTACATTTGTGTTCCATCAAAGATGAAAAATTGTTCTTTGAAAGTATTGTGCATTGTGCCCTGCAGCTGAAAAACCAAGGTACTGTTCCAGCTTGACAGGCTTTTTCCAGCAGCACGTCCTGCACACACAGAGAACGATCAGAACAGAGGTTAATTTGCAGCTGAATCCAGTTCAGTGTAAAACAGTGTTTGGGAGAGATGGCTGACAGAATCACTGGCAGTTGTAGCAAGCATTTGCCTGAGACTTCAAGTGAGCAAAGTGCTGTATTTGTGCTTGTACCTAGGGGACTGCGGATCAAAGGAGTCAACTTGTGTAGTATCTGGAGTGAGAGCCTTTCAGGCAGGGGAGAAACAGTGCTTAACTAAAAGAGGTCTACTTCCAAGATTGGACACACTTCTAATGCTTCTGAAAGCCATCAGGAAGATGCACAAGTGTGCCTGTGTCATGGCTTATCTGCTCATTACAGGATGCAGGAATCACAAGGCAGGGAGAGTCCGTGCAGTTTCTAGAAATGTGTGATGCTCTCCTCACAAGGAGCTTGGGTATTTTTTGCTGGGGACAATTAAAAGAGTAATAGATGGTAGAGCATCCCTACGAGAGAGCTATATACAATATATCCCTGTGTATAGGGAAGAGGCAAGGGGGTTTTTATAAGTGAAATCATTTACCAGTGAGTAGTGACAAAAGGGAGCTACAGACCACAGCCTCCTCTGCTATTCAACTTTGCTCTTTTCTAACATAGTTATACCTGAATTTCTCAGGGCTTTCCTGTAGGAGCACCTGCTGCTACAGCTCTGGGAACTGATTGTTTCCAGATCCATAACACTCAGACTTTTCTCTCCTCAGCAATCACAAGTGAAATCACACACCAGATACTAAGTCCTGGGAATAAGGACCTACTGAGCATATTTGGATTCTTGCTGTTGTGCATAGCACTGTAGCAAAAGAAGGGCACTTTCAAAAGGCAGGTGCTAAAAACGTTTAAGTATGAACATTGAGGTTGTTGATTGAAAGCTATAGAGGAACAAGTTGTGGGCTCTCCCTTCTCTAAATGCAGTCAGTGGTTTGCAGGCTCCACAAATTGTTCCTGGCAGCATGGATGTGAAGGTTACTGTGTTGCTGCATTATGGCAATTGCAGTTGCTATTACCCTATGACAAAGATGGAAGCTGGAAATGTGACTTTCAACAATCAATGAGCTTTGAAAAATTACTACAGATCAAGAAGCTGGCCTTTTACTCCTGTTCCTGGTTTAGCTGAAGAGCTATCGATATCGGTGAAGGGCAGAAGCAAGCTGTGTATCCACGTAGAAATGCACATTAAATGCAGTTGCTTGGCTGAGACTTGAACATGGCAGCACAAATATGAATCCTGTTTTGTGGAAGAGAGCATGTCTTACTGAACTAATGAGGCTATAAATGAGAGCAAACCATCTGGTGCTACTGTTTATCCCTTTGCTTTCTCTCTTTTCTTATTTGTCACTACCATGTTTCTGTCTTATTTACTACGGTCATAATCTTTGTAACTTTTTAAGGACTGCTCTGTAGGCCACAGTAAAAGCCCATCCCTGGGGTCTTTTCCTGCCTTCACTGCCTTCAAATAAGAATGGTAAATTGGTGTGGGTTTCAGACCACTGGGTCCCTCTGCATTAGGGTTGTCACTTGAGAAGGACAGTTTTATGTCCTGTGTAGGAGTCTGGATAGGAGATACCTGCAATCTGGACTTATTGGCAATACAGGATGTATATGATCATAGCTAAAGTCGCCTTGTTTCTTACTGAACGTTGAGTCAGTCTGTCCTAAGGACTTCTGAAAGTACCAGGTAGTAGAACTGTCAGCCCTTTGCAGTGTTGTGCAGCCTGATGTGCTCCACTCTCAGCCAAAGCATTTTCCTTCCTTGTCGTTTTCCATTAAGTGCCTGGAATATTTTTTCCTTGTGTTCACAGCTTTTAGATCTTCACAAATTCTGTTCCTTTGGGTGCTCAAGTAGTACATGCTTAATTTTGACTTCTGAATCTGCACCGGTTCACTGTGTTTCTCCATCTGGTAACCTGCAAGGTACCGTGTTGAAGGTACAAGTTTTCAGATGGACAGCAGTTGGCAGCAGGCCCTACAGCTTGCACAAATGGCACAAACCGAATTTTCAAGCTCTTTGGAAGAAAAAATCACGGCACTGGAAATACAAGTTGAGCATTGATGGTTTTAAAAGGCTGTCATGTGGAGGAGTGAATCTCATTACCGTATGTTGCACCACCGGCAAAGCCCTCCGAATATCCTTTCTTTCCATTTTGTCTTTGCAGAAGGAAAGGTTCCAGTAAACGGGAGCCAAGAAGCTTACTGGAGAAGCTGCGCTGGGTGACCCTTGGTTACCATTATAACTGGGACACTAAGGTACCGAAATTCAATTCTTCTCCATTTTTCTTAGCTGGCAGCACTCAGAATGGCAGCCAGAGCAGCGTATCGTGGACTAAAATGTAGTAAAATGCTTATGATCCTACAGAACAGTCTTGAAAGGCTGTAACAAACCACGCTTGTAGGAACATTTTAATCTGTATTAGTTCACTGTGGAGGATTTAACAGCACGAGTCCATTGCTGCGTTCTTTCCTTTGAGAAGTAACACGGTAGCGTATACTCAGCTCTAGACCCGTGACTCCATTTCAGGGTGAGGATTTTTACCCTACCAAAAAGGATGGTCACAAAAGCCTCGTTAACTCTTTAGGGTGAGAGTGACCTTGGAGACAGCTGCTTCTGCGAAACTGCCCCTTTTTGGAGGGGTGAGAGACTGCTGCTGGTGTGACTTTGAACTGAAGAGTCTGAACCAGTACAGCACAGTCTCACCAACTGACGGCTATTTTGGGACTCCTGAATATTGTGGAGACCAAAATAAACTTCTTCATAAGACTGAGTCAGATGGAGGCAGAGTGAATCTGCAGTCCATCAGTGTATTACAGCTACTGCTTGCAAACCTGCTCGCAGCCTTACATTTACCAGGTCAGCCTATTACTGAGTGTGTGCCTCCATAAAAACTTGGTTACTCCCTTCCACTCCTCTCAGAATCGCTCACCAGAGAGAGTAAAAGTAGGTTTGCCATTGATTCCTCTTTGTTAATCTTCAAAGAAGGAACAAAGATGCTTGTTTCTGAGCTCTCTTGATGAGATACAGAATTGTCTCTCCATTGGCAGCTTTAGTGACCAAGTAGATCCTCAGGATGTTGGTACTACTCTGAGGTGTTACCTTACCGACTTCAAGTTTGCCATCCAGATACAATGATTAATTCCACAATTAATAGAATCTCTGTCAGTCTCAGCATAGGACCACAATTAAATGGTAAGAAGCAGCTTGTTGTGCTTCTGCCTGTGTTGTAGTAATTTTCCACGGAAATATGATGTCCTTCTCCATGACTGTCAGCCAAACTTCTAATTCAATGTTTGTTTCCTGTTGTATTTGCTGCTCTGATGTTCTGGGTTTGGTTTGTTTCTTTGTTTTTCCATTCTCCTTCCTCCAGAAGTACTCAGCAAATCACCACACTCCTTTCCCCTCAGACCTTGCGTTCCTATCAGAGCAAGTGGCTGCAGCCTGCGGCTTCCGGGGTTTCCAAGCCCAAGCAGGGATCTTGAATTACTATCATTTTGACTCTTCACTAGGCATTCACGTGGATGAGTCTGAACTAGACCATTCTCGGCCCCTTTTATCGTTCAGGTGAGTCAAGGAAAGTACTTGGGTGTTGTGGAAGGATCGGTGGCTTTTTTCCTATGGTGGCATATGGTTATGGGAAATTGGTACAACGTAGCTTGCTAATTGGCTGCATAACGATCACTCTCTGAAGATGTGAATAGTAGGAAGCTGTAGCTCAAAGGCATAGGTGTTTTGTTTTTTAAGACTGTTTGAATAGCATGGATGTGGAAGAGCTCTGCACAGAGCACAGCTCTGTTCTAATGCAGCAAAGTGGCAACTGGGGATTAACAGGCGAGGACTAAATACCTCAGTAGAGCTTCAAACCTGGCAGGGCAACTGCTCTCACTATGCCTACGTTGAACCAGGCCTCTTAGTCCATTTTCCACGTTCTCATTGTAAAGCTGTTCCTAGGAGTCAGTCTGGGGGTTTTGGGGTGGGGGGGTTGTTCATTGGTTGGTTTTTGGGGGTTTTGTTAAGGCATTTAGCTGCTAATATTTTCTCACTGTTACATGCAGTTGTTCTCCACCTGAATTTGTTTTCTCTCTGCATCTGTAGTTTTGGACAATCCTCAATATTTTTGCTCGGGGGCCTGAAGCGGGAGGAGGCCCCAACGGCGATGTTCATGCACAGCGGAGATATCATGGTGATGTCCGGCTTCAGCCGCCTGCTGTACCACGCTGTTCCCCGGGTCCTCCCCAACCCCGAGGGGACAGCTTTGCCTTCGTGCCTGGACCAAGCACTTTCTTCAGACCTTCCTGTCGGCTCAGTCATCGAGCACAGCTCCGATGAGGACTGGCAGGTCTGTGCCAAGTACTTGCAGTCTTCCCGCATTAATATGACTATTCGGCAGGTGTTGGCCGAGGGTCAGAAGTTTCCAGAGGAATCTGGGACAAATGCAAAGGGGCAAGCACCCTCTGAAGACAGCCACCATCAGGAGAACGGCAGAGCCAAGAGACATAAACCAGATACAGACAGCTGAGACCAGGAGATCACGCTGACGTGAACTGGACGAGCAACCTCCATGTGGACTTGGGAACGAATGTAATCGTACTACAGGTCACTCATCTGTGTGAGGATTAATAAAGTTCTGCAGAATGAATGCAGTCCTTGTTGTAAAAAATAGACTGGGGGAGAAAATTTAAAAGGAAGAGAAGGATAAATGCAGGACTGGGACTCAGGAGACAAACTCTGCTGCTGTTTTGTTGCAGGCGTTTACCGTACTCGGTTCCTTTGAAAATTACTTGTATGTCAGAATTTTAGGGTTGGTTCAGTGCTGCTCATAAAGTATTTGGAAATCATCGGGCAGAAAGCGCTAGCAAAAGATACATAATCGCTGCATGTTAAAGAACCCTACTGGGCTTTGTACAGCTCAGCTGAAGTGCATAAACAAGTACGACTGAGAAGAGGCCGCTGTGGGTGTCAGAGCTGCCTGCAGCATTTCCCAGAGAATTACCTCTGCAGCAAAAATGGGTTCAGTGATGAGAAACGAGTGGCTCCCATGAGCAATGCCTGCTGTAAGCTTGCTGTAGTCCTGTGCTCTCCTCTTGCCTGCTTGCATCCCCTCAGCTGCAGCAGAAACTCATCTGCATGAGTGGAACTGGCCTTTCATTTTTTGGCATCGCTCAAATTTTAGAGAGAAATTATTTGGGGAAATATCTACTTAGAGTATCTGGTAGCTCGCTGTTGAGTCTTCTCCAGACAGTAAGTATTGTGGCTGGGCCCCGCATCCCCATTCCTTCAAAACTGCCCCCTCTGAAGTGCCTGCACGTTATGGCCCTGCAGGCCCAGGGTAGCGTCTTTAAGAAACAGAATGACTTGCAAATAGAAGCAATGGAGTTGCAAATTGTGTACCTAAAAAAATATGTAATCAGTGACTATCTCTGTCACCCAAAGATAAATATGTTGAAACGAAGCAAAGCACTGGCTTATGTGCCCGTTCTTTTTAAGACTCAACCTCCCTATCTGGGTTTTAATGCCATTTTAATTGTTGGAGTGGAATGTGCTGTCCCCAGGGTATTTTGTTGCACTTTCCCAATGAATATGCTTCCTCAGTTTTTAAATTAAAGATCTCTATCAGTTTTGGGCTGGCTTTTTTTTCCCCTTTTTCTCCCTGTTAAGTTATTTCAATGTATTGTTAATGCTGTGCATGCCTTGTGCTGTTCCCTCCAGGCTTCTTTTGGATCTGCTGCCTCTGCCATCTGCCAACGTCAGTGGAGTCGTGCTGCATCCGTCTGCAGGGCTGCTTTGCTTGTGGGCACTTGAGGGTTTGTTGGGCAGTTTCAGAGAGGTGTTCCCTGCGGTGTGAAAGTCCAATTTAATATGTGTATGGCAGCTTTTCCTCGTGGGGAAAGTGTCTGGCCTGCTCATTTCATTGCAGGTGGGTGTGTGGATGTGTGCAATTAATCCTTTACATAATGCTGCAATGAACTCCAGCAATTTAATGTTTAAAATAATCAGGTTTTGTGGGTTTTAATATCTTATTCTATGCCAGAAATGCGTCCTTCCTTTATGCTGGGCCTGGTGTATTTACAGCTGAGAGTACTGAAAGTACTGCAGAGGTTACAGTAGGACCAGAAAGGAAAGTTGAGTAAGTCTCAGAAAACAGCAAAGCTCCCTTGATGGCACCTGAAGGTGGGGAGAGGAGTTTCTGTTTCCCTAGCAGTGAGAAGGCAAACTTTCTGCTCTTCATTCTGAGGGGGAAGCAAAAATCTGCCCACTCACTCAGCACTGAAAACTGAAGACAGATTCATCAACGAGATGGTCATGAACCAAATGGAGCTGGTTTGTTCGTGTTGCAGGCTGAGGGTTAAGTCCATGGATCTCACTTGTTGTGTCTTCAGTTCCCTACAGATACATCACAAGATTCAGTTGTTCCTGTGATTCAAGAACAAAAAAACCCCACTGTTTATCCTCTGCAGTTTGAAACTGTAGTAAATGCTGTGAACTACTGATAGCGATTGGTCATGGAAAGGTCTCGTCCGTTGAAGCCGTATGTTTAGATCAAGTTGAGAATTTGCTGGGTTACTGACTTGCAGTCAAGCTTGTTCTCTAATGCCACTGTGAGTGCAGTGCCCTCCTGATCTAGTTCTGCATCAGACCCAGAAATGAAAAGTCCATGACCCAGGAATGGGCACATAGGCAGTGACTCAGAGAAAAGAAGTCATCTGTGTACGAGGAGAAACAACTGTAAGAAGGGAGAATGTCCTGAACTGCAGCTCTAGCAGGAGCATTAGTGTAGTGGTGAAGAGTGGAGTACAAACAGGCAAACCCCAGGACTTGGGTGGGCTCTGCAAACTCTGCTGCTCGTGATTTTGGAAGAGGCAGCTCCAGCTCTGGGAAGAAGGGATGGGGAGGATTGTGGAGAGGCAGGGAACAGGGCTGCACCCAGGGACACACTGATTCATAGCACTGATCAAACTTTTCTGTCTGTAAGTACCACAGGTATTTGCTTGTGTTCATACAGGTACCTGCCAAGATAATCTCTGCAGCTTTTAATGCCTCTACCAGAGAAGCGCTGCCCAAGGGCCACAAGCACAGAACTTCATCAGTGTCATAGGCAGTGTCTTCTGGGATGTCCTGCTGTGCACAGCTGAGGGGAGGGAAATAAGAGGTCATCTGGACTAATTCTGCAAGAAAATTAATGTAATGAGCTGATTACAGGAAGATAATGAAGTGTTTAATTCAAGGCCACCTGGAAACGAAGCAAGTTGTTTACCACATGTACTCTGCTCATTAGGTGATCTATAGATAAAGCTAACAGTCCAAGAGAGTTTAAACTATTACCAGGGTTTTTTTATCCTTAAGTGAAGGGAAAAGAAAATCTCCAGTGAAATCAGGATCAAAGCACAGAGAGATGAATACTGGAAGCAGAAGAGGAAACTGCCTGCACAAACTTATCATTTTCAGTCCTCTGGGAAGCAGTGTGCTCGAGAAGTTGTGTGTTACAAACTGGACTGCTGGCTGCTGCCCAGGCCAGAGTTACTGCGTGCCCTCTGCATGCCAGCCAGGCAATAGCTTACAGGCAAGCAGTCCCTGGAGCTGCTCCTGCTGCCGGAACGATTCTGATCTTGGGTATTTTCCCTTTCTTTGACAGCTTCTTGACATTTTTTCCTCACTGCTCCACATCAGGTATTTCTACAGACAGTACTGAGGTGCACTTAAGCTCTTCTACTTCTGCGACCTGCTCTGCTGACCTAGTAGAGAAGTTAGCAGCTGGGAAGAGGTTTGTGGCTGGGGAATGAGGACAAACTTCTTTACTATGAGGGTGGCAGAGCATGGCCCAGGCTGCCCAGAGAGGTTGTGGAGTCTCCTTGTGTGGAGACACCCAAAGCCCTGGCCGTGTTCCTGTGTGACTGCTGTGGTGATCCTGCTGTGGCAGGGGTTGCACTGGGGGAGCTTTCCAGGTCCCTTCCAACTCCTGACATGCTGGGATTCTGGGATTCTTGTTGAAACTACACAGAGAGAGCAAAAAGTGAGTCAACCTGGGAGACAAACTGCTCCTCCTTCTCTGATGCTGGGAACTCAGCACTTCACATCAGCTTTTAGCTTCCTTCCAGGTGAATTTAAAACTCATTCTGTATTTACTGAGGAAGGCCAGAGGAATCAATAAAGGCCTTGGCTTTCTAGAGCTGATCTTCTCACCAATCATTTCTGTCTCTGTTCTGTGCTAAGGGCTTAGATAAGAAGGCTTTGTTTTTGTTTTCTTTCCCCTTAATGGATAGGTTTCTTAATTAGGATGGGGGAAAAATGACTGCAATTTTGCTGTGGCAAATTAAAACCAAAATGAGGTAGCAAAGAGCAGGGTCTGGAGAGGAGGGGGGCGATCAGAGACAGCTATTGATTTGGAAATGATGGAGGAGCCAAAGCAGAGCACACAGCCTGGAAAGGAGACTCATCTTTCAAAGCACCGCTCCTGCTTAAAAACAATCAGTCCGGGCAGAGGTGTTGGGTGCTGCTGAAGCTTCAGAGCTGGCTTTGTGTTCAGACAGAATTTAAATGTCGGAAAGACTCGCTGGTTCATAAGAGGATGGCTCCTCAGACAAATCTTGAGGTTGTGGAGTTAGGAATCATGGGCTGGAGCTGAACAAAAGTCAACCTGAGGAGAGAATCCAGAAATCCTTAGCAGTGGTGGTAACAAAAAGTTTTTGAAAATAACTTCTTCCAAGGATGAAGAAAAACTGTCACTGCAGGCAGAGAAAAGGGAGCAAACATAGTGCTGAATGTGGGACAAGCACCAGGAACTATGAGGAGCAGCTGAGGGAGCTGGGGCTCTTGAGCTTGGAGCAGAGGAGACTGAGGGGTGCCCTCGTTCCTGGGGATCCATTTGGAAAAGGCAGTGTCAGGAGGAAGGAGCCAGGCTCTGCTCTGGGATGTCCAATGCCAGGACAAGGGGCAATGGTCCCAAGCTGGAGCACAGGAGGTTCAAGCTGAGAAGGAAAAGCTTTGTGAGTGTGAGGGTGACAGAGCATGGCCCAGGCTGCCCAGAGAGGTTGTGGAGTCTCCTTGTCTGGAGAGACCCAAAGCCCTGGCCGTGTTCCTGTGTGACTGCTCTGGTGATCCTGCTGTGGGGGGGTCGGACTGGATCAGCTTTCCAGCTCCCTTCCAACTCCTCATATTCTGTGTGTGATTGTGTGTGATCTAACACTCTTCTCACTCCCAGCTGTTGCACAGCATTCCCCATCTGTTCTAGACAAGAAATAATTGATCTGGTGTTGTCTTACCTTGTCTGGGTGGCTGAGATCAAGCTCAGGTACAGCTCTCTACCACTCCAGTTGCTTTCATACACACTGCCCTTTCCCCCTTGGCTTTTCAGGCTGCAATCCTCAAGCCTGAAGTCAGGTGTTAGTCTGACCTCTTGTCAAACACAGCCAGCACCTGGGAAGGCCGTCAGAGAGCAGCTCCAGTCTCCTAAGGACTGGTTTGACTTTGCCAGCTTGTTCTCATTGCTGTGACGGAACCTGACTTCTCAAAAGTGCAGAT